GGGGGGGAGGGAGTGGCGGAGAGTGCTGTTAAGGAGCGCCTCCGCAGCGGGAAGAGCGAACGACAACAGCCAGTGAAAAACCCGCCCCCCACCACCCGCCGGGGGTGGGGGAGCGGGGGGGCGGGGGGGGGGGAAGAACGACGAAAAAAGAGAACGCCGGGGGGGAACGCAAATCTGGCGCAACGACGGGAGCCGGTATCGGGATGAACAGCCCGCCGAGTCCCCACCTCCGGTCGTGCTATTCCCCGGGCGTTGCTAGATTTTTCTTTTCCAACCCAAGCAGGTGTGGCGACGCCCCGGGCAAGGCCCGCACCAGGTGTGCTCCCCCGATCGCCGCGGCCCCTGGAAATGTCACACCGGCGCCTGCTGCTGCCACCGCGCCGGGACAGGCAGGGGGGCCGGCGGGAGGGAGGGCAGATCTGCGCGCCCAGCCTGGCCATTGGCCACCGGGGGGTGCCGTGTCGCGTCCGGAGGGAAGGTGATGGCACGGCGGGATGTGCGTGTGTGTGTGTGTGTGTGTGTCTGTCGAAGCGGGTGGACACGGGGGGGGGGGGGCGGACATCGACTGGCACCTGAGCACAAAAGTCTACGTGTACATATTCGGAAGATAGAGTCTATTTTGTGTTGGGTACAATCACCCGCGCCGGGCAGGTCTCATGCTCCTCTCTCCTGAGCGCTTTGTGTGTGCGTGTGTGCGAGGGGGGGTCCTTCACCCTGCCCCCTCCCCCCGGGATACATGGATGGAGGAGGGGGGGGGGGGATGCGGACGCGTCTGTCGGGGAAAAGGGGTATGGGGTCTTCTGACAAGATGATTTTCGCCAGCTGGCGAGCCGAAAATTGGCAGCCGAAACCCTCCTGTCATTGGGGCCAAACACCATTCGGATCTACTAATGTAGAGTTGGTGGATGTTACGTTGGGGGCTGGGCCGGGGCTGGAGAGGAGTGGTGGGAGCTGGCATGCGCGCGCGCGCGCATGTGCATGCGTAGGGCCTGCCCCCCCTCCTTCCGCAGGAGGTCGCGTGCACGTACACACCCACACACACAGACACACACACACGCAGGCCCCTATGCGCAAATGCGTCGGAGAGATGCAGGGGAGAGGGAAAAAAAGAGGAAATGGGGAAATGGGCAAGAAGGGAGGCGCGCGCATGACCACGTCCGCCGTGTGGGTGCTGCTTGGCCGGCGATCTCAGAGAAGGGCATTGAAGTGGCGGCGGTTGTGAGAAGTGGACATGATCGGCTGCTGGATCTTGACCATGGGGCTGCCGTTGTGACTCCGGAGGAACTGAATGGGAGTGTGGTGGCAAAGCGCACGAGGGGAAACGAGAAGCGGGAGGAGAGGAGAAGGCCAAGGTCAGGGTGGCGGATGCAGATGCGAAAGATTGCGAAGAGGATGATGCCGGCCAGAGGGAGGGAGAGGCAGGAAAGAAGGGCGCAGTTCTCCCGCACCATCATGAACTCATGAACCTTCTCCTCGGGGAGGTTCTTGACACCGATGGACTTCTGAGAGCCGTTCACTGAATGATGATGATGATGATGATGATGATGATGATGATGATGATGATGATGATGATGATGATGATGATGATGGCAATGCGAGAGGAGAGGAGGGAGGCGGGTCAATCATCAGAACAGGCGGCAATAAGATCATAGACAGGGCCCCAGAGGTGGCATATCGGCAACCGGTGAGGGAGGAGTGGCGACGTACGATACTCGGCACGAATGAACGGATGCGCGCAAGGACGGTGGTTGACAGCGATCACAATGGAGGGGTTCTGGCGCGCAAACTCCACAATGTGCTCGTTGATGTAGTTGCTGTGACAGAGGGGGGGGGGGGGGGAAGCAATGCCAAGTCAGCGAAAGGGGAGAACGAAGGATACAACGCACAGGGGGGGGTGGAAGAAAAAAACGAACCGGACAAAGCGGCTGCTGCCAGAGTGCTTGCAGAAGTTGATCATGATCTTGTGGCAGGGCTGAACGAAGGCGCCAGTGCCGTTCTTGATGACGGCGGTGGCGGCCTTCTTGGCAGCAGCGATGGAGCTCATGGTGTATATGTAAAGGCGGGAGCTGCGAGGGGGGTCAGGAAGATCCGGACTGGAAGGCGGAGTGGAGCGGGGAGAAGGAGGAGAGGGGGAGAGGGGGAGAGGGAGGAAGGAAAGAGGGAGGAGAGGGAGAGAAAACAGGTCGGGCGAAACGGGAGAGGCGAGACAGGCAGCGGAAGAGGGACAGGCAGCGGAAGAGGGACAGGCAGCGGAAGAGGGTAGGTACGGGGAGCGAGGGGGCAAAGGTGCGGCCGTCTGACCAGGGCAGGAGGGGAGATGGAGGGGGATGGCTGAAGTGTGGAGATGTGCCAGGGCCTGAATGCATCCCTTTGAGAGTCAAAAGAGGAGCCAATGCACCAGGGGTGGCCGTGCGCTCGACTCGCCGCAAGTCGAGGGGGATCCGAAAGGCGGCCTCCCCCGTGCCCCCTCCCTCTCTCTCTCTCGGCTCCCAAGAAGAAGTCCGTGCGTGTGTGTCTGCGGGCACGGGCGCCGGCCCCCGGGCCGGGGGGGGGGGGGGGGGGAGATCCCAGGCACACAGACCGGGGCGCCAGCACGGGACACTTCACGTGAGACTGGCCCGGCGCCGGGATGGTGTCCGATCGCAGATCCGGGTGTCAGTCCAGCGCCGGGCATCATGTGCCATACGCGCGGGCGTGCGCGCGCGCGCGCGCCCTTGGCGGCGAGCTTTCCGGACCGGGCTTCCGTTCCCCGCCGTGGGCGCAGGCCTCCCCGCCGGAGGAGGAAGGGCGGCGGGCCAGGGCAGTTGGGCTCTCACGTTCGCGCGTGTCGCCGGGTCGGCGAGCCTTACCGTGTCCCCTGGGAGCCGGCTTCCACGGAGCCAAGCTGGGCCCCGTGCGACCGGGGGCCGCCGAGCGGCAGGCTGGTGTCCCGGTGAGCTCGCACCCCCGCCGCCCACAGCAGGCGGGCCGGGGGGGGGGGCAGGTAACCGAAAGGCGGAGCAGCAGCACTTTTGACCAGCCATGTGACACATTCCGGCGGCGCCGCGGCGTCGCCCCGCGCCCCACAGATCTACGGCAGCCCACAAGTGCGTGTGGGATGGGGAACAAGCGCCGGCGTGGCTGGCGGGAGCCGGGAGTTCCCAGCCCCCTTCTCGTCGGGGCCGACACTTGGGCGTGGGCGTGGGCGCGCGCGCGCGCGCGCGGCAGGGACAGGGCTGGCACCGAGCCGCGGCTCGCCGGCTCAGCCAATGGCTCAGATGCCCGCGGTGGCGGACACATTCTCTGTGCTCTCCCGGGGGAGCCGGCCCACGGGTAAGGGGGCCGGGCAGGCGCACGCCCCCCCCCCACCTTCCCCTTTTTTTCTCCCCCCTTTTTTTTTTTTCGGGGGGGCCGCCCCCCCCCCCCCCCCCCCCCCCGCCCCCCCTGCCCGGCACAGATACACGCTGCCCTCCTCCTCCTCCTCCCCCATCCGAGGGGCCCCTGATCTGATGGCCTGGCGGGCCCGGCCCGAGCCGACCGCGCCCAAACGCCCACGGCACAGCCTCCTCCCCCTCCCCCCCCCCCCCTCCGCCCCACCACTCCCGCCCACGCCGCCCCCCGTCCGCCCGAGTGCATCTCTCTCCCCCTCTCGGCACTTGGACCCGGAGCTGTGTGCAGGTGCGCCGCCCTTCTGCCTGATTCGCGTCCGGCTGTCACCGCGCGGCAAGCCGCTCACCCTCCAGTCTTCTCCCCCGGCCTCTTTCCACGCCCTGTGCACAGTGCCCTTCCACCACCACCACCGCCACCGCCACCACCGCCGCCGGCACCCCTGCCCACTGTTCCCCCGGCCCACCCTCCTGTTGGTGCATCCCCACGTACCTGCACGCCCGAAAACCGGTCAATGAGCGCTGTGCCCGGACAGGCAGCCCCGCTCGAATGACTGGCCTTTTCGTGCCCTCCCCATTCGTCGATCATGAGCCCTCCCGCCCCCTAATCCCCTGCCAGCTGCCGCCGGCCATCTCCTCATTGCTGCACTTTCCGGTTGTCGTGACCCTGGTGACCGCACTCCTCTTTGCCGTGGTCAGCTTTGCCCTGCTGTCGATCTTCCTCGATGTGACCGACGAGGAGGCCGACCCGGCCTCCGAGGGCCCCTGTCCCCACCATCCCCATGCCGGTCACCGCTGTGACCACCGCCACCCCCATCGCCACTGCTCTCGCCCGGCTGACGCGCGCTGCCCGACCCTGGTCGACGCCCGCGCGCCGGGCTGCTCCCGCCACCGTCGCTGTGCATCAGCGCTGACAGGAGCGCGGCCGGTGACCGAGCCCCATGCGACCGATCTGACCGGGTCCGCTGGTGGCGGTGGCGGTGGCAGTGGCGGCGACCATCATCCCGGCGACTCGGCCGCCGATGACCGGTGCTGTGCCGGCGACTGCTGCGACGGGGCCCACGAGCACGACCCGCATGATGCCCACTACTCCGACAACATGGACGGCTATACGGACGACGAGTACACCGACTCCGATCATGCCGAGGAGGGCGAGCACTGCCATTCGATCTCCGGCCCGGCGGCCGCCGGCCCCGCGGTCTTCCTGTCGGTGGAGTACATCGGCCCGACGTTCATTCTCCTCCAGTGCCGGCAACAGCTGGCCTCCGGCAGGCAGCCCGACGAGGCCCTCGCCCCGCCGCCCTTCGATCTGGTGGCCGGCCGCCGGGCCGAGATGCCGGCCCACTGCCCCGGCGCCGGGGCCTGTCAGGCTGGCCTGGTTGGGGTTTGCGCGATCTCGGCTGCCCGGCCGGCGGCCCGGCCTGCTCCGACGGTCTTGGTCAATGGCCTCGCATTTGGCGAGGATGCCGACAGGGCGCCCGGTGACGGCCCTCCCGGGGGGGGCCTCGACTCGACAGCCGTCTGGGCCCGGGGCTGCTCGGACCCCAGCCTGCCACCCCGGGGCCCCCCCTCGGTCAGCCTGGCTGGGGCCCTACCTCGCCCACTTGTGACCTTTTTCTACAGCGCCCACCAGCCGGGGGGCCGGCCGCTCGATACTGCCGATACTGTTGATGCTGCGGACACTGCCGATGCTGCCGATGCCGCGGACGCTGCCGATGCTGCCGATGCCGCACGCCCCCAACTCAAGCTCCTGGTGCGTATGGACCGAAGGGGGGGGGGGGGGGTGCTCTTTTGCAGCCGCCCCCCGGACACATGCATTTGGCCACGATGACCATACTCACACCGACCTTCTCTGTGGCAGATCTCCGGCCTTGTCCCCTGCAAATCCTACAGCATCGAGATGAGCCTGTCCGGGCCCCTGCTCCCGATGTCCGACCGGGTTCACGTCGTGACACCTGCCACCAAAGGTGCGTCCCAGGGCCAGCCGAGCCGGGCCGCTGTGTGGCCGGACAGACACTGGCTGACCCTCTCTCGCTCCCCCCCCCCCCCCCCCCCCCCCCCCTCCCCCTCCTTGGATCGTGTCTCCGCCCGCCCGAACGCAGAGACCCCGCCCCCGGCTGATTGTGCCCTGGTGGTGGCCCTGCTGGCCCAACACTTCCTGGGGGCACCGGCCCCGGATGGGAACTTCGGCCAGGCACCATGCATGGCCATGCAGTTGGAGGACGCCCCACCCGACCAGCATACTCCATCATCACTCTCATCGTCAACGGGGCTTACCGAGCCGGCTGCTCAGCTTCTTTCGGCCTTGGACCACTCGCTGCTGGACAAGCTGGCCCTCACGCGAGGACCGGCGCTCGATGCCCGGACGGCCGAACTCCTGCGCATCACGATTGACCGCCTGGTTGCCGAGATTGAGGAAGCGGTACGTGTCGACACTGCTCGTCCTCCCCTCTCCCCTCTTCCCCCCCCCCTCTCTGTATTTTTGCGTCTCGTTTATCGGGGAGATGGCCACTCTGCGTGCCTGCACATGCGGCCATTCGTCACTCACCGCCACTGTCTTCTCTGGTGCCCGCAGAAATTGGCCAAGGCCGCCGCCGAATCGGAGACCCGCCGACGCAAGCGCGAGATGGCCCGTCTGGCTCGCAGCTCCCGGGCCAACCTCACTGTAGCCCAGTCCTCGCTCGAGCGGTACGTATGCATGTCTGCCAATTGCTCCCTCCTCCCACTCTCCCCCTCGATGGCAATCTGTGCGCATCTAACTCGAGGAATGTCCCCCCTTACCCGTCGCCGGTCTCCGGTATTGCACACAGTGAGGAGTCCAAGATCAGGAAAGAGAGTCAGCGCGCCGATGAGATGGCCAACCTGATCAAGCATATCGAGAGTGCGTTACTGTGAAAAGGCAGAGGGAGGGAAGGTGAGAGACCGCCTCCTCTCTTCTCCATTTGACGCGGCGCTAGGTCTTCCGCATCGGTGTCTGACATATCGAATGCGGCTTTCTCGGCCCCGGGGGGGGGCCATCCACAGATCAACAGGAGACCGAACGCCTGGCCCTGGACGCTCGGATTCTCGAACGGGATGCCTTGCGCGGCCGGGTTCAACAACTCGAACAGAGTCACGACCGTGCTCTTGACGCTGCCCGGCAAGTGCGTCCAGCAGCCTCCATCTCCCTCCTGGCACACACACACACACACACACACACACACACATGAGCACATATGATTTGCTTCCTCACACCCATCCTCATGACCCCCTCCCCCCGGCCCAGCTGGCCAAAACACTAGAGCAGCGTCTGAGCGACTCCAAGCGACTTTTGTCTGACCGCCTGACCGAACGCGGTGCGCATTCCTCCCATGCCCGGGATTTGCCCATGCCCCAGGGCCCCCCCCCCCCCCTCCCCCTTTTCCCCCCTCTGCCTAACACCTCGACCCTGGCGCTCGGCTGGCGCGGCCACGCGCTCACAGATGAACTTCGAACTCGGCAGCGCGAGCTGACCGCCGAATTGGCCACCCTTCGGTCAGAGCTCCGCGAAGACCGAGCTCCTCTCGAGCCACCCGCCCCAACCGGGCCCGCGTACGCCCCTGGCCGGGTGCTTGCCTTGCTGGACACCAACACCGGTGTCCAGCTTGAGAGTCTAACAGCCCATGTCCGGGCCTTGGTCGACTCGCCAGCCCGCCGGGACTGGCTCCAGGCCGTCCGGGCCCAGATCTCAGATGTGCGCCTGTCAGAGGGCCAGCGGCCAGCCTTTTCCTTTCAGTCCGCCTTTTTGTGCCTTCGCCCATCCTTCCGACCATGCCCCCATTGCTTACATCCGTGTTTTTGACGCGCGACGGTGCAGCTTGAATCCCGGCTCCCGGCGGCACAGGCACATACCGGTACGTCCAAGGGCTCCCCTCGCTCGCCGTCCATGCAGCCGGCCCTGTCTCCTTTCCGCCGGGTAGCTCGCTCGCTCGCTCACTCGGCGTGCCCCGCCCCCCCCCCCCCCCCCCCCACTCCCCATGTGCATGGCCACCTGTGTGCACAAATGACAGATGACTTGTCCCGGAATACCGGCCCCGGGCGAACCACCTATCAACAACGGTCCTCTCCGTCGGGTGCGGCCCCCGGCCCACGGCCCGGGGCAGATGCCACCCAGGCGGCATATCCCTTCCGGCCGCGGGGGGCCTTCCCTCGACCGGGTGGACGCTGGCCCGGTGCTCATCACACGCAGAATGGGTCCCCCTCACCGCCGCCGCCGCCACTACCAACCACGCCGTCCGGCGCCGGAGTCACCACGACTGCAATGACTCCGCCACCACCTCCCTCCCCCTCGCCGCCCCTGCCGGCGGATCTCTCCGGCTCGCCTCGGCTTCGGGCCAGCGTGCGTGCTCCCTGCTCCACCTTGCGCGCTCCCTGCTCCGCCCATCGACGCCCGCCTCTCACTCGCCTCCTCCCCCCCCCCCCCCCCCCCCCCCCCCCCCCCCCCCCCCCCCCCCCCCCCCCCCTGTGATTCGCCATCTCCGCAGAAACCTCGCCAAGGTGGTATGGCTGACCTCTCGGCTGCCGGGCCTGCCCGCGGTCAGGGGCACTTCCCTGCGCAAACCAGCCCGGCCTTTTTCCCCTCGACATCAAAGACAAGTCGTCGTGGCGCATCGGGGCCCGGTGGATCGCCGGCCACCCTGGGGCCTCCGCGGCCCCCAGCTCCCGTTGGCCGGCATTCGGCGGCGGCTGCTTTCACCCCGCCCCTGCCTCCCCCTGGACCTTCGCTCACCCTCCCGCCGGGCCCCTCCACCCGGGCGCCCACTCTGTCATACGCACGAGCTGCGGCCTCCACACAGTCGGGCGCCCGGCCGACGTGAGGCCGCCCCGGGGCGTTTCTCGCCGACCGGCCGCCCATGTCGGAATGCGTCGGCCGGAAGGCAGGGCCGAGCGGGGGGGAGGGGGGAGAAAGACAGGGAGAGGGCGGCGACTCGGGGTCAGAGGGTGGAAGTTGGCCTGCCGGCTGCTTGTGGTCCGTCATTGCCCGGCTGTGTTGGGCCCTCGTCTGTCAGGGCAGCTCCCTGCATGTGTTCCCCCATTTGCAGGATGCCACCCTGCTCGTAACTGTATATTAGCTTCGCTTTTCCCTTCCCCCTCTCGTCTCTTCTTCCCTATATCCCCAAAAGACCCTTCTATCTGCCGGAAAAAAAAGAAAACAAAAAGAAAAAGCGCCTCCCGATGCGCTCCACTGCATCCGCGTGCTCGATCGCTGGCGCCGAATATAGATAATCCCCCCTTCCCCGTCATTTTGCCCCTGCTTGCCGTGACTCTGTCCGTGCACTCGTCCTCCCCCTCCCTCTCGCCCTCCTCTTTCTCCGCCGCTCGCTCCCTCTCTCCATATATAGACATATATCCGCATATCGATGTGCTCCCAGAGGGGCAGAAGGAGGGGGGAGACGAGGCGCAAGCACTGACAAGGATGCTCTTAAGGCTGGCACGCGTATATTCCAATGCACCTGGCAGAAAAAAGAAAGGGGAGAGACAGCACACAACAGGAGGTCCTCGTCCCGCGGAGGCCTCGGGCCATCGCTCGGCCGGGCAATTGTTCGACCATTAGTCGCTCTTGCTGGAGAGGGCCACGACACCGGGGAGCTGGATGCCACTCAGGAGCTCGAGGCTGGCACCACCACCGGTGGAGACATGGGAGAACTTCTCGGTCAGGCCAAACTTGGCGGCCGCGGTGATGGTATCACCACCGCCTGCAGGAGGGGGAGGAGGGGCGGCAAAGCATCAATGGGGAGTGAGTACAGGCGCGGGCCGGCCCCAAAGGAGCAGGAAGAGCCGGGGCAAAAGGCAAGAGGAACACCAACAGCCATGGACAAGCTGGACGCACAGACAATGGAGGTGGCGCCGTCGGCAGTGGCCGCGACCACGGCGTCGGCAATCACACTGGAGCCCTTGGCAAAGGCATCGAACTCGAAGACGCCAGCCGGGCTGGGCACATGACATGCGGAAGGCAGCGATGAAAGCGGCCGCGAGTGTCAGTCGCGCAAGTGGGCGACCGGCAGGAAAGGGCGAGACACGGGGGGCGGGATGTGGATGTGTAGGCGGGCGCGGGCGCGGG